GAAGTGTTGATATCATGCACACCGAGGCAGAAGCATCATTGCATTTGTACAAGTTTGTCTTAAAGGGGTCATATGACGTTGCTAAAAAGAACATTATTTTGTGTATTTGATGTAATGAAATGTGTTTAATGCGGTTTAAGGTTCAAAAAACATTATTTTCCACATACTGTACATTATTGTTTCCCGGCCTGGACTCCGCTTCGTCCACGGTCGGTCCGGTGATCCACAGAGCGAAGTTGATGTATTTCCTCAGCTACCAGCACGGATCAGCTCTAGGCATGACGAAAAAGTTACGCCTTCTTTCTTTGCGTGAACATTTGGGCGGTGTTATGCAAATCTTCCCACAGAGACGTAGACATTTGGGGGCGTGTTTAAACGAGGCGTTTTAGGAGGGCGTGGACAAGTCTTAACTTTTATAAAGTTTATAAAAGATCTTTACAGATCTTATTTATGCACCAAGAGCTTGTAACACTCCAAAGAGAAAGGAAAAAATAATATCGCATCATATGACCCCTTTAAGGTAGTTTCATCTTTTAAATATTTGCCTGTCTGACATGCAAAGGAGATTATATCCTTGTGTGGTGAGAATATTTTTTGTCGTCCACCCCACTGCAACTCTATACCCCTTTTATCCATTTCCTCCACCGTCACTATACAGGGCTCTGAAACAATCCAAACATGTAAATGTTACAATATATACATTAATTAATTAATCCGCACAATCTACAATTTAAACTTCAAGAATAAGACATACAAAACAGGTAAGTGTTCATACTTAAACACGTAAAGTATCCTCTCCATTTGCCTTGCACACAGGTCAAGTAGGGGGAGCCTTCCATTGTAAATTTATTATAGCACATGTATTTGACTTTCTCCCCATAACTATATTCATTTTTTGGCATTTCTACTGTGTCTGCATTTTCCTGGTGTGGTGGTGGCCCACATTCAGTTCTCACTGAAGGCAAATACATTTTTCTTGATTTTTATTCATTTTAAACAGTATTAACTAAACTGTAAGCCAGTGTTTCATTAATGAGTCTCGATATTAGCAAGATGTATTTTCAATGGTGTTAAACTATAAAATACATTATCAATGCAATGCGCTGTGAGAGGCCTTTAATAAAATGCTTAAGAAGATAAGTTGAACCGCTGATTTCTTTATATAATTTTTAGTTAAAGGTATTTTCCCTCTGTGGCCTTACCTTCACATTTTGGAAATGGGCTGCTCCATTCTCCATTTGACTGGCAGGTGATTTTGCACTGTCCTTTAAAAATCAAACCTTGTCCATTACATTAAATTTTAATGTGTGTCCAGGTATGATTGAAACCTCAGACTCTATGATCATATTCCCTGGGAGGTTTACAACACACGCTGCCTCTAAAGAACAGAAAATCTGGTTCCTTCACATTAAAACTTAACTTAACCAATCAAAAGGTTTTACTTTGTATGTCCTTACTTTCGCATTTAGGAAAAGGGCTGCTCCATTCTCCGTTTGACTGGCAGGTGATTTCTCTCTGTCCTTTTAAAATCAGTCCTTGTCCATTGCATTAAAAATTTTAAATTATATTCAGGTTTGGCTGGACCCTCAAGATCAGGAAATCGTTTAATTTTGATGTTCTCTGTTGTGTTTAGAGGACATGTTACATCTAGAGAAAGAAGAAATACTAGTCATTGCAGTGTCATCCATCTCTGCAGGGGCGGATCTACCGGGGTGGCAACTGCCACCCTAAGAAAAAGCTGTGCCTTCCCAATCCTCCTGCCCTGCGTATGATGAGCTCTTGGAAGTTATGGATCGTGCCACGGCGAGGCTTGACTTGCCGTGGAAGCGGACTAAGGAAGTGGCGTCGCGAGGTCGTCTCGATGAACATTATCTTTCTGGCCATAGCCCTCCAGCTCAGGTGAGCCTTCCTTTCCTTCCTGATCTCCATACTGAGATCGAGAAGGAATGGAAGAGGCCGTTTTCCTCACGCATCCATCGGTTTCAGCATACCAGTTATGCCAACATCGAGACGATGTGCGAAAACGGCTATGAGATGATGCCCCCGGTAGAAGAGACGCGAGCCAGCTATCTCTCTATGGGTAAGACATCTTCTCTCAAAACTCCCTCCTTGCCATCCAAGTCCCTTCAGATTACATCTCGCTTGAATGGCAGGGCATACGCAGCAGCAGGTCAGGCTGTTGCTTCGCTGCACACTATGGCGGTGCTCCAGGCATACCAGGCTGACCTGCTGAAAGACCTGGATAAAGGCGAGGGCCTTTCTTCTGATGAGATGGCTGAGTTGCGCCGCACCACGGATCTTGCTCTCCGTGCTACTAAGCAGGCTGCCTCTGCCATGGGCAGATCTATGGCGGCGATGGTAGTAACGGAGAGGCAGCTGTGGGTAAACCTGGCTGACATCGGGAAGAAAGAAAGGGGTTTTCTTCTCGATGTCCTGGTTTTGCCCTCTGAACTTTTTGGTACCTCCGTTGAGACGGTGGCCAAGAAGTTCAGGGATGCGAAGGCGCGCTCAGCGGCCTTCAAATCCTTTATTCCACGAAGGTCCAGGTCTGAGCCCGAACAACCCAGGGGTCCTGGCCCATCTCGGTTTGAGGATCAGAGACGAGCACAGAAGGCTAGTGTCGCGACTCGCGCTCCTCCGGTAGGGGAAGGAGGAATCGCGGGTCAAAGGGAGGTAGGCAAGACCTAAGGGATGTGATCCAGACAAAAGCGCTGACGCCTTGTCTCGGGAACCATGGTGGGTGAGTACGATCCATTTCTAAATATATATATTTATATAAATATACTATAGTCGCACCAGTAGTGATGTCATGGCTGTCGCCGGCCAATGTGTTGTTGGTGTTTTTTCAATGTATGCTTCAGACATGGGTCACGACGAGGCGTTCCCCCATAGCGACCCCTAGAGAACGCAGTGCCTCGTTCCCTACTCAGGGAACCATGGTTACATACGTAACCTGAGACGTTTTCAAAACAAAGACACATTTCTCAAAAAGTTTAACAAAAAGTAAGTTAAACATTAGGTAGCAAAACTGATGACACACCAATCAGAATCTCTGCATGCTAACAACGGAGAGAGGAGAGAGCTGAGCCAATCATCTACAGGGGGTTTATACTTACACATACAGTATAACTACAGTACCAGTACATTAGATAATGGAAATGTAACTATTCTATATGTACAGTAAACTGTAGCACGTTGTACACCTTCAAGCGTGTGACTGTCAAATTTTTTATGTGTACTGCATTTTTGCAGAACTGAGAAATGACTGCCTAGAGATATAGCTAGTCTTGTGTCAGGAGACCAAGAAACTGCTATAGTACTGTATACTGTAATGAAATTTGGCGAAATGTGCAGAGGATGCTAAATTTACTTTTTTTATAAAATTTTTTACTGTACTGTATTGTGGTGCATACCAAGTTCGTTCAATTCTTTGGTATGTGAACTTTTCTAGTGCTTTTCATCTATTGCAAGATTACTTTACAGTAGTAAAATGAAAACGATTTTTTTCCCAATAAAAAAATCCATTATAATCTTGCCTGCTGAAAAAAAAAACAATAAAACAATAGAACCCCTCCCAAAACACAATAAAAAATTTTATGGATTTCAGGGTTATAATGGGAATTGTATTGGTTTTAATGTAAACTATAATGGTGTCTATTTGATGGATTCTATTGGTGGGAGGTAATCTGGCAGATGGCAACCAATAGAACAACAGTAATTCCTATTGGAATAATGCCCAAAACAAAAAGGAATTTTGTAATGGTTTAATGGAAACTATAACAATTCTGTGATGGTTTCTATTGTTTTTTTTCAGCAGGGTAATGAAGTCCATACTGTGCTGCACATTTTTGACAATACTGAGCTGAAGCTTGACTTTGCAAATTTAAAATCGCAATCGCAATATCTGTCAAAAAAAAATCGCAATTATATATATTTTGCCCCAAATCGCACAGCCCTCCATGCTTTAATGGAAAACAAGCAACAACCACTGTATTCAGACAAGCATGATAAATTATCAGTTGTTTTACACAAAAATGTATTTGTATAAGATTTCTTGATGTTTAAATCTGCTTTAGCTAATTTGTTTCATTGTGTTACCTTTTGTTGAGACATCCATGATCATTAATTGAAGAAAGAGAAATATTTGACAATATTTCATTTTAAGCTGTAAAACATAGCAGATGGCTTAGTGCAGTTTACAGAGTATCGACTGAATCACCTACCAAATATTTTGTATTTAAAGACTGATTCACTTTCCTTATTTAACACGAATCAATGCAAAGATTTCTTTACCGTTAAACATAAATTAGTGCTGATGAAAAACTCTGATGACCTGTTTTCCAAAAGATGTAGTTATAAACACAATTTAGCATTTGTGATATGAATTTGTGAAGTCTCCTTCCCTCCGCCCCACCAAACAGGACTTGATAATAAAAAAACAGGGCTTTTGTGCCTGGGTGACTCTGTTGCTTTGTCCTTGTTTGTGTGCTAATATTAGCTAAAGTTATGCAATTTAATCTATTTGATTCCATTGGTAACATCTGTGAACAACATATACTACAGGGTTTGAAGAGTCTAAAAAGAGTTGATTTAGTTTACTCAGACATGTCAACTAGAAATTACGTGTAAATTGTCTTGAATAAATGTGAACATTTTACATGGCTGGTGTAAATACTCATCTGACCAGAGCTGTTTCATTCCAGTTTCACTCTCTAAACTATAAATTAGTAACTGATTCACATTATAAATGTTTCATTGGGCTGTTCAATGAGTGCACTGACTTGCAGTATCACGGAAAAATGTAGAGTTAAAATGGTTAACATAATTTTCATACATGCACATATTGAGAATTTTACATTTAGTATTTATTTAGGTTTTTGTTTGTTTGTTTTTTCTTGCAAGAAATCCAAAACACATAAAATGATTTGGGAATTTTTTAAAATTTTGATTCACTCCATTTGTTTTTACTTAGTGCAGGTGATGCTGCACTTATTCTTTATTCCCACTGTCACTCACACTCAGGTAAAGTCACCACTCCATCATTACACTTTTGTCTTAGGGGAACACCTCCTGAAACTTTGCCCCTCTGACACATAAATCTGATGTGATCATCATGTGGTGCGAACATCTTTTGTCGATCAGCATAGGCCAACTCTATACGTCTTCTTTCCATTTCCTCTACCGTCACTGTACAGGGCTCTGAAATAAACCCAGCATGTCACTATCAGTGTCACAATATACATTCATTAACTAATCATCACAACCTACAACTTCAACTACAAGACTACATCATGATGTGTTTATATGATATATATGGTGAAGCGTGTTCATACTTACTTAAACACCTAATCTTCCCTCTCCATTCTCCTTGCTCACAGGTGAAGTATTTGGAGAAAGGTCGATCCAATGTGTATTTATTAAAGCAGCTGTATTCAACTCTCTCCCCTGTATTGTATTCCTTTTTTGTTATTTCTAGTGTATCTGCATCGTTCACGCCTGGTGGTGGTCCACATTTCTCTGAGACTGTCATCAAGAAAATGTGGCATTAGTAAATTTTAATATTAGTCAGATTACCTTTTTTTTCTGCAGAATTGGACCATGTCAAGAGAAACTTGCGTGCGTATTTATGTGCCAATTGGCGCACATATTATAATATGAGCAAAAGTGATGCTTGTGTTGCATTGTCTTTCCAGAATTTCATTGTATAGCTCAATGCACTTGTTTCTCAGAATTTCTTTGTTGTTGTACAAATATGTCTCATTCAACAGCATCAATAAATTCTCATTTGTTTTGTGACATTCTGCTAATAGAACAAGTGCAAAATGTAAAAATGTAAAAATGTATTGACTATGTAAAATGTGCCAAAAATTATGAAAATTAAGAAAATATATGTGAGACTGAGTGGATTCAGATTCATTCTTTTAAATTTAGCTTGCTAATATCTTTGGATAAATTCAGGTTTGTTCATGCTTCAGGTTTGTCCACCATAAAGTAGCATCATCTCTATTTTTGCAAAATTTGTAACATTTAATAGCAGAAACATACCAGTGCATTGCTCACGTAAGCCTGTCCACTGGCCCTGGTAATCACAGGTGATTTCAAAAGGCTCCTCTGGTTCAAATCCACGATGACATTTATATTGTATTCTTGAATTGATTCCGTATTTTTGTCTCTGACCTCGAACAATATCTGCATTTGGAATGTTAGGTGCTGCACACATTTCTGTAAAACATCCATCATACTAATTACAATTCATCAATGCACAGATACATAATAATTTGATTGGATACTGCAAAAATTATTGTTTCACGACATTCAATGGAATTAGAGGCAACATGTCAATAAACTGTACCATACCACCAAATCAACAATCTTAAAATCTATATTATGTTAGTAGCAAAGATTTTAATACAAAGATTTTAAGCAGAACATACCAGCACACAGTGGTTTGGTGTCCATCCGTCTCGTGTACATGTGGCCTCTTCTGCTGTTTTACGATATCCAGTTTCACAACTGTACGATTTTATTGCTCCCAGTTTCTTATCTCCACTGAAGGAATAGGATGGGTAATACACATGCTGGTCATGTGGAGTTTCACATGTAATCTCTGAAACAAGATTCACATGCTTTTAATTACATGCAATAAATTCATCACCAAATTCAGAAATGTTTCTCCATAATCTTAACTGCACAAACAGGCTCATAGTCCCACTCTCCATTATCTTTGCATGTAAATGATCTGCTCGTTACTTTTGTACCAAAGAACCAGTATTTTTCAGAGCAGGTTATCTCCACACTTTCTCCAGCTCTGAAAATAGTCTTTCCATATGGGTTGATCTTTTTTACTCCAAATGTGGTTGACTTCAGCTCACAGGTTACTGCTGTACAAGACATAATTATGTTGTATTTAAGTGTTAACACAGGCCAATTATGTATGAAGGTTTTTGGTTTTAAGATGTTTACACAGTGTTTAGGTAAACATTTTAGTTGAAGTGAACCAACTAAAATGTGTTTTCTGTCATTTAAAAAAAAAATCTGAATTTCTTTTTCTGTTTTTTCTTTCTTTCTTTTTTTCTGAATAGCATCAGACCTGTTTGTTACCTCTTGATTTCTTAATACTGAGGACATAACATCACCCTTTAAGAACAAGAAAGTCTGAAGGATAAAAAAAATCTACTATTAATTTAACTAAATCTGGTGTCTTATGGGAAGGAGTGTATAGCACAATTGCACTAAAATACTAAATTGATTTTAATTCTACAGAGCATTTGATTGGACCAAAAATTGTACAGCACAGAATGAGTCATCAGTATTTTTGCTGTTTTCCCAGAATTGTATTGTATTCCCTGTATCGTATTAATTTTTTATTTTGTATCTGCATTCTCATGGTTCATGTTTGGTCTTGGGCCACATTTTATTTTTAGACTGTTGTCACCAAGAAAATGTGGCATTAACAAATCTCAGTATTAGCCAGATGTCTTTTTTATGCTGCTGAACCATAGAACATGTTATTAATGAAATACTTATTATTAATGTGCTTAAAGAAAATGACATTCAGTTGAAGCGTTTCTGAAAGTTTCTGATGAGTTGCTGGTTCACACTGGGAGATGAAAAACAAAGTCTTTAACTTATTTTCTGGGCTGATATTATATTTTTCAATAATATAATATATTACAGTATATTATATTATTCCCTCTATAGGACTAATTGTGAATTTACAGCTTAAAAAATAATTGACTTTATATTTTACATATAACTATGCGATTTCGGACGCAGCTCATGTCTTAGCATTTCAGAAGCATTAAAACAACTTTAGCATTGTGTTTCATCTTGGAATTTCAAATCAATTATCGTAGCACATGTGAAAATCAACAAGACTCTTCTTTTTCAGTGTACCCCACACATCCCACACATAAGTAGATGTTGGTCCTCCTTGGCCCTCAACAACTTTTTTTATTACTACAACCTGATTTTCTGATGCACTCATATCACTATCATCAATACTTTCTGAAATAAGTACAGATTTGTCTCTCCATCTTCCAAAAATCTTACAAAAATGAACCAAAAAAACACATGCATAAAGGCTATTATACTGCCCGCCAATGCTGGTCAATAGTGCCAGCTACACAAAAGATGCATCACATAATAGGACTTTGTCAGTTATGCATGACGCTCAGATTTGTTGGTCTCTGTTTTTATAATTTTATAAAAGTGCATTAAAAATGACAAAAAACTTTAGAAAACACATTTGGATGTACAATTATATTTTTTATAACTTATTAAGTCCCACTTTGTATTAAGTGGCCTTAATTGCTATGTACTTACATCAAAAAATAAGTACAATGTTCTTATTGTGTTCATATAGTATTGCAAAACAGTTTTGCTGCTACTGAGGTGGGATACGGGTAAGGTTAGGAACAGGTTTGGTGGTATGGGTAGGTTGAAGGGTGGGTAAAAATGTAAGGGATGGGTCAACAGTATAACTATAAATGTAATTACAGAAATTAATTACAGAAGTAAATTTTTGTTGGTTGAACATCAATATTGAATTTTAAATGCAATTTTCTTAGTGTCATTTATAAATCACGATATCCCAGAGGGTTAAATAGATTTGGATTACTCTGATTTTCTGAAGAAAATCTGATTGGTGTTTATTCATGCGAAACCCGCTGCCATATTACTAGTTCATAACTTTGTGGTTGCTATGTTGTTCTCGATGGTTGCTTCTTGGCCCAAATCAAGAGAGTCTGAAGACCCGATGAGTTGTGAGCCTATATTTATATTTTATCTATCTATCTATATATATATATATATATTTTTTTTTTTTGTG